TTTTGAGGCGTTTGTTTAGGCAGGGTATGGTCTGGATAGATCCATTCCTAGCGGTGAAGACTGATGAAACAAATCAATGAGTTACTTCTAAAAGTTTGAGGACAAGCATTGTGAACTAAAACAATGCACAGAGGACACTGTACCCACTCTACTAAAAGAGTACCAAGTAGTTATTGCTCCTCGAAAAAAAATTAAACTTGAGTGCTTAAAGCCCTCCTTTTTAATTACTCAAAGGCCTAAAATTAGGCGTCAGGAGCTCTAAACAGATCATTGTGGTCAGACAAGTGAGCCACAACTTGTTGCGCTTAAACACTGAACAACATAAAACCTCAACAGATCTGAATAAAGGCTGCAGTGATGGCCACTGCATTTCTGAACACAACCCAAATGTGCACATAAAAGCTCACCGGTTGAGTCCTAGGCCAAATCACACTGCAGCATTATAATTGTTCAAATTGAGTACAAGACTAATGGCACCTGAAAGACAAGCTGTGTCCGAATTCCCAAACTGTTTATTAAGCATGTGCAAACCTACTTTGGAACTGGTTAAAATGAATGTTCCGCAGAGTGGGAATATTGGTAGTATGAATGAAATCTGGATTTACTATATCCGCCATCAGTCATGTGACCTACGCTCTCAGTTGCGCCCCTTCACTGCCATCCACAATTCCTCTCCAGAGGCTTTATGGGATAGAAAGTGTCCATCACATGCTCACTTCAGGATCCTGGCGGAAACAGTAGGTCATCTGGGGACTTTTCATCTCCCATGCTATATATTCAGACATACTACTATTCTGCTGCACTGATTTTCACATACTGCATGGTATGGAAGTATGCATATTCGGCAGCAATAATACAGCTCTCTTTAATGCTCTCCTTAGGCAGCTTAACGCATGCCTATAATCAGTAAAACTAGATGAACCAAAGTAGGTTTACAGGAATCAGGGATGGAATCCATAGGTCTTGAATTTTTTTATGTTAATCAAAAGAGATTGATGTTGATGTTTCTAATGTTGTTCAGCACACGGCACTTAAGATATGTACACTGTGCAAAGTATTCGTCTAAAAAGGTGCTAGTTTGAGAACTGTGCTTATAATTTCTGAAGCCCTGAAACACCCAGATGTGGCACGTGGCAATAATATTACCAAGGCCAAGGGTTCAGAGGGCGCCACTTACCTATGTCACCATTGAAGAGCTGCTTTTTCTGTCACAGGCCACAAATAATATCATAGGCGGGGGAGAAAAATAGAGAGGGATTAGAGATATAACAGCACTGGAGGTGAAGAGCAGAGTCCCACTCTCCTCTTTCTCCACTTGAACTCTCCTCTCCACTGCAAGAGTAGAGGGTGACAGTTCTTGAACGGGAGGACACAAAGTGTCTCTTCACCAGACACTCTCATGCTAGAAAACAAACATGCTTTATTCAGCTCCCTGAGAATAAGGCTCTATCAGGAAGACAAGAAGAAAATATACATGATGATCCAAGAACAACATGTACTGCAAGGTACATTCTGCTTTTAACTGAATGCGTTTAAATGTATTGCTCATCTCTAAGGACAAAACGTCCACTCTAATACAATCCTGATTTGGGGTGCAAACATTTTTAATAAATGTTGCTGTTGTGCAAGCAGCTGTGCTTTCTCAATGTTTTATGAAAACCATGACAGTGCCCAGGCATATTAACAGTCGCTTAAGTATATTTGGTGTCATAATTTTTTTTACTATTGTTATCCTTTTGCCTTTTTTTTTTTTTAATCCACCGATAGCCAAAGTCTGAGATCAAAATGCATCCGGTCCGGGTTTCTAAACCTCCTAAAATATCTGGGATTCAGCTTTTGATTTAACTTTTTAAAGTCGTTGTTTGTTGGTAACTTGTATGTGTTTTTGCATTACGTTTTTTAAAGCCTGATTTAGTTTTGCTAGGCTTCACAGCTGAGAGCTAAATAAATTCTTTGATCTAAACGACTTGGATAAACTTTTCATTATACTCAGAGACGACGAAATAACATCTAAACTGGCTGCAAAATATTTGTACATCGTTGAAACGGTTCATTAATTTAAACAATTAATAATTATTTAAATAATCAACACTTTTTATCCTTGTAATTACTTTTTAGAGATAGTGTCTGTTTTTATTCCTTTGTCATTTATTTCTCATTTGCTGTTTATTTATTAATTTCATGATGTTGATATATTACATATTTTACACATATCTAACATGGTTTGGCAATACTGTCCAAAATGTCAGCAGCCAATTTTACCTGCCAGTGTGTGTATAGAATATGAATAGAATAAAAGTAAAACAAACAGTAGATTTTTTTTTATTTCAACAGTCTTTTTTTTTTACTTTCACCCATTGAAAAGAAACACTGTATAGCAGTCATAATAAATAAAAATACTGCTAAAATCACGTTTTTTGATGGTAGGTAACCATGTGCCATGGATAAAAGGTGTCTTTTCAATCAAATCTGTGGGAAGCACAGCATGAAATTTCTTTTCAACATAATAAAATAGGATTTTTAAAAGAAAATCTTAAAGAACACCAATTTACTGTGTCCATGCTGGCGAAAAAGGTAAAAATATATAAATTTTTTTTTAAATAAACAGAATTCATATTGACCCCAATCTTTAAAAAAAAAAAATACATTTAGCATGAATACCAATTAGGTATATTCTTAAGTAATTCACTTCTTGCTATTAATTGTGACTTTAGGTATAAAGATCCTGCCAAAAAAATCATAGCAGAGATTAATGCCATTTTAGCATTTATCTCTGAGAGTTTTATCTGTTTGACGTGTAAAGAATATCACACGTTAATTAAAATGAAAGAATCCCTGAACCTCTCCAAGAACGTGCCAAAAACAATAGTAGCACAAAGGCCACTGGCTTTTTCCAATTCCAATAACTACAAGATTTGTATTAGAAAAACAGCTTAATGACGCTGGCTTTGATATGCAAAAAAGATTGCGTCAGATAAAAAAGAAAAAAAAAAAGCACTGTCAAACAGACGGTTTGCAGCACTGTCAGCCTGAGCTTCAAAGCATAAGTTTTGTTAAAATCAGGTAAGTGGGGTAAAACCATTCCACATTAACCTTCAAAACAATTTCGCAACAGTAGTGCAAAATACCAAGATTACACCAATAAATCCTAATCTTAAAACAGTGCTTACTTTTACCAATCTGATTCAGATTGACATTTTGACCATTTTATATATATATTAAAGTTATATATATATATATATATATATATATATATATATATATATATATATATATATATATATATATATATATCAATGGTCCAAAACTGTTTCCATGTGACTTCAGCAGTTCAACTGTAATCATAAGAAGCTCCAGGAACACTTTTGTGTAAAAAAATACAACAATTTTGTTCAACTATACTTTTCACATCGGGGGGTATTCCAGAAAGGTTATGTGATTATTAACTTGTATAATTATTTAACTTACACATTGAGTTACAGACTACTTGTTGCGTTTGTTTCCAAATTTAGAAACATGAATTGCAATATAAATTAAAATGACCACTTTATATTGTGACAAGGCAAAGCAAAAAGAAAACATTAGATCTCAACACTACAATCAACAACGGAATAACCAATGATTAAAGATCAATAATTAATAATACAATTTGCATTACATATTGCATTTACAACCAATCACTGCAATGGCCACAGAGTGAGAGCGATTGTAAATGATTTAGCACGTCTAAATAATCAACTTTAACATGGTAGTTAATGGGGATAACACTGATAGAGTTGATCTCCCTACTGAAAAAAAACAGCTTAAACTAGCCTAGGCTGGTTGGCTGGTTTTAGAGGGGTTTTGGCCACTTCCAGCCTGGTCTTAGCTGGTCAGGCTGGGAGATAACCAGCTAGAACCAGCTTGACCAGCCTAGCCAGGCTGGGAGCCCAGCCAAAACCAGCTAGACCAGCCTAGCCAGGCTGGGAGCCCAGCCAAAACCAACTATATACAGCTTAAACCAGTGACCAAAACCTCTCTAAAACCAGGCTGGTCAACCAGCCAACCAGCTTATGCTGGTTTAAGCTGTTTTTTTTCAGCAGGGCTGGTATGATGCTGTGCACTGTTAACTTAGATCTCACCTTTCCGCTACCTTTGCCCCTTTTGTTGGGGTTTGGTAGTGAATCTGCAGATCGAGCTCCAGCTGGTTTAGCTTCCATGCTGTAAAAGACAAGCAGACGTTATTATTTTTAATATAAATTCTGCTACCAAAACCATGTTCAATTTAACTCTGTGAGTAACTAAATTTTGCAATTAACGTGCGATGTCACTGTTATGACTGGAGAAAGTAAATAATGGCGGCAGTGACTCATTACAAACATTAGCTTTCATGCTGCAGCTTCATGCGCAGATACAGTTACCGTTTAGACACGCGATGATATAACGAGCGGTTACTCTAACAACTACAACTCACTGTTCGGAGTATTAAAATATAATTTACGTGTCCATTGTTGACTTACTAACCTTGCGTTGAACCGGGACGTTTTTCAACTTGAGAAAGGATGCCGGGGTGAGATTCTGGGCCGAAATAACACAGGAAAAACAAGACCGTTTCACGCCTATTTTCAAAATAAAAGTCATAAATATGTACGTGGTCGCACAACAATTCTAGTCAATTTTAATATGCTGGTATCATAAATGGGATTTAGTTTTTACTTTCACTGGCATTACATAAATTAACGAGTTTATGAATATTATTTTTCCACTTTTGAGACATACGTTATAGTAAACAAAGAGGACAAGACAGACAGGACTTCTAACCTTTATTTAGACATGAATTATATGTGCAACTCCCGACTAAAAAGACTGCCGTTCAATTTTGATTTATTATTGTACATTTCATTATATACATCTATATTAAAATACAATAGCTATTCGAAGTTATTCAATATATGTACTTATTAAGTGATAAGAAAGATAATTATGTGAGATATTTACTCAGGCATCTGCTTAGCCGCTCTATTGTCTCAGCAGAGGTTGAAGGACCCCTGGTTCAACAGCAGCGCGAGTGGTTCTGTGCGGTGAGTGAAATAAACTTGTTTGATCGTTGTTTTATGGTTGTTATTTGTATTTAAACTGACTAAATGACTTTGTGCAGTGGTGCATATCGCCGATAAAACATTGTTGCTTATTGTGTTGGTCACGATTATGCATAATGGTGTAAAAACGTGTCATGTACGTATAATGTGCAGTGCTTATGCATTATTTTAGTAACGGATAACACATGTACATGAAAGTATATTCTCCGTATTCATTTTTTTAAGTTTCTTGTGACACTCAAGTTTGTAATTGTATAACTAAATGCTATTGTAATGTGAAATTTACGAAAATAGCTGTAGCAAATCCATTAAAATCACTCGTCGCGTGTTTTTGGTTTTATTAAATGTTTTTATGCTGCTTTTAGTTTGCGAAGTCTTGTGAAAAGGAATCTTTTTACCAAAAGTTTTATCAAGACTATGTTATGCTTTAATTTCTCAATACTGATATTAATTTTGTCTTACAGCACTGCTTTCCCTGAACAACTGAAGAATGAGTAAAAAGCGAAAAAGGCAAGATGATTTTCAGAAAACAAAGCTAAAGGTTGGCAAAAAGAAGCCAAAGGCAGACAATGCAACCAATGTCAACTTCAGATCAAAGTCCATCCATCTACCAGAACAGTTGAAGCATGGGGAATCAGGGCCGACCACACACAGGCATCTGGACATCAAGGTACATGAAACACAAAAAGCCACCCTTTCCACTGACCCTCATCTCTTTGTAGTCTTTTATAGTTATGTAACAATACATCAATAGTGGGGTGACATTGTGGCTCAGTGGTTAGCACTGACACCTCACAGCAAGAAGTTCGCTGGTTCAATTCCCGGCTGGGTCAATTTGCATATCTGTGTGGAGTTTGCATGTTCTCCCCTCTGGGATAGAGGTAAAGTTGGTTTTATATTCGCACGTTCGTTCATTTAGCCATCTCTATATTGTTTACCACACTACTTTGAATATTCAATCTGAAATTAGCATGTATGACTTCAAAACAACATTAGCACTATCTAATTGACTGTGAACTATGATACATTTGATGATTTTGAATTGGCTGGAAATATGATTTCGCTTTTTAGAATTTGAAAAGAATACTTTTCTGAAATTTTATTATTAAGGAGAATGCCTTAAAGAGCCCATATTATACATGAAATAGGGTCATATCTTGGTTGTAAGGGTCTCCAACAACAGTTTAATATGCATGCAAGGTCAAAAAAACACTTTCATGGTCTTATAATCTGCATTTATTTTTACCTAATTATCCCAGCGACTCCTGTATGAATCGTCCAGTGATTCATTTGTTCCCAAACCCCTCCTTAGCGCGAAGCTAATCTGCGCTGATTGGACCAATGACAGTCTGTTGCGATTGGTCGACTGCCTTCAGTCAGAGAGTGAAAAGCCAAACAGCTAATCAGCAATATAAAAGTAATCACAGTTCATGCACGCTCTGTGTAGGCGTGGATTTTAGCTGCCAGTGGGTCAATGTAAATACAGACTATGGACTTGAAAATTCAGACGACTAACTATTTTATTGAGCAAAAACTCTAAAAACAGTTGAGGAGATCTCCTAGCTTCTCACTCTGCTTTTTTCACAGACACACACACACATATTGCACACACACACACGCACTTAACCCTGCTCCGGACGACAACGCGCGCGCACACACACACAAACACACACACCTCCGGACGACAGCGCGCGCACACGCACACACAGACACACACACTTCTCCTCGTCCACGGAGCTCCGTTAACAAAGCAGCACGCGTCGCGTTTTTAACGTGACTTTGCACGCGATAAGAGAATATAGCCAGTTAACCTGATACAGTACACTCGGTTACAAGTAACAAATCACAACTAAATACATTTGCAAGCTAGAGTAAACGAGGCAACTTTAATCGCACGTACTTACACTTGAGAAATGGAGGAAGAAAAATCCATCCTGACGTCCAGCATTAAGTTACTCTTTACTGATCCTTCCTTTAACAAACGCTGATGAAGTATTGTTTGTAGCATGTAGTTTCCAGAAGTTTCCAGTAGTTTCCAACTGCTTGGCTATAATGCTGAGGTTTCATCTTTGGGTAAAGACTCAATATATCCATCTGCAGTGTGACTTCAATGGACCGGCATGTTTGTGTGTGCGTGTGTTTGTGGGTGTGTGTGAGTGTGTGTCTGGGTTTCTGCGTCAGAGGGCGGGGCCTCAGGTTTGAAATCTCCCGGGTTTGCGCGTGCACGTGAATAACTTGGTTTCGTTCGTACGTCATGGCGAAACACCTAATGAATCAGTATCAAGGCGACTCGTTTGAAGCACTATGAGTCGACTCTTTTATAGATGAATCAACAGTTTTAAACACTGTATTCTTACAGATTTAAGCCTTAGCTGGATACTTTACTTCAATTAGAGCTGTGTTACACACTAAATGGAGGGGAATTTTCAAAAACCCATAATATGGGCTCTTTAATATCCGAATATAAAACCTACTTTACCTCTATCCCTCTGGGTGCTGCGGTTTTCCTTACATTAGCTAAAATGAAAATCAGTAACAGTTTATATGACTTTCCAAAAGAGGTAAAAATATATTTAACATTACACTCACCAGAAAATAGAAGGATATAGAGGCCATTTTGTTTTACTAGGGAATAATAATAATAATAATACAAGATTTTAATTTTACAATTCACAATTGTAAAGGGCTTTCCTTTTCAAAATTTTCATCACTTTCCTTTTTAAAATGTTGTCACATTAAAAGCATTAGTATAGTTTAATGAAGTTACATAAAATATAATAGAAAATATGCTTTGTTTTGCACCTATATTATGATTTTTTTCTTTAATTGTAAAAAATTGTTTGATGTAAGTATTTTTTTTTGTTAAGACGGCAAAAAAAAATTCTTTTACTCTCTCTCTCAATTCAATTCAGTAATTGCTTTATTGGCATGCCAAATGTTACATATGTACTGCCAAAGCATTTATAAAGTTTACATAAAAAAAGAACATGCATTATAATAAAATAATAAAGAAAACATGGTAAACACAGTGAATATTAGTATATAAATAAAATAATCATATTATTCATTGTGTCATTATTTAATCTATAGTGTATATAGTATCATATTATTCATATATATTAATAAAATTTGATATCACATTTGACAGTCAACATTTTAGGATAAAAACAGTAGTAAAAAATAATGATCAGTTTATTTACATTGATTCATTTATAATAATCTAGATGTGTGTTTGCAAGTGCATCACTGATGTCTTTCTCTCTCTTAGGATCTGTTATCCCAGCTCCACCACTTCAACAGTAATGTGAAGCAAGGAGCTCTGGTGGGTTTGCGGGAGTTGCTGTCTGCTAACCCTACTATGGTTGAGCTTCACGCATCAGTGGTGCTCTCTGAAGTAGCGGCTCTCTTCACAGACAAAGATGGCTCCGTAAGAGCAGCTGCGGTGCGTCTGCTGCGCTTTGTTGCCCAGTGCATCCCATCAGAGCGCGTTGCACCCTTCTTTCCCCTGCTCAGCGCCCACCTCACCTGTGCCATGACCCACATCTCAGAAGCCATCCAGGAGGAAGCTCTCCGGGTCCTGGATGTGCTGCTGGAACACTATCCTGGGCTTCTGTCTCAGAGACACACTGTTCTGCTGGGCAATTTCCTAGAGCTCATCTCTCAACGGAGGAAGTCTGGAACGGGTCAGGATAAATCCGGGAAAGGCAGTTACGCTCTGACAGTCACCACAAATCGCTCTGTGACGGCACAGCAGTGGAGACTCACTGTGCTGCTCAGGTGTTGCACGCAAAAAACGCAATGAAATTCAGTCCTTATCTTCACTTTATTTCTGTTTTGCTTAATAAGTGTGTATTTTCAGGTTGAGCAATTTTCTGCAGGCAGTTGTTGAGGAGAGACCTTTGGAAGAAGGGGTGAGCAGCAGGATTGGTCTCGGTATGTGGGCTGTAGAGAAAGGCTTGGTGACACCTGTAGATGTGACTTGGGAGGAGCATGTGAATGGACAAGGCAAGATTCAGTTGTTTGAAAATTCTGGAGCCGGGCCCACCTCACACTCTGCTTATCGCCTAAGGTATGTGTAATTGGGGGGAAAAAGAATTACTGACAAAATGTAATTTTCTTTATTATTATCTGTTGTCTTCAATGTAGAGCAGGGGTATCAGGAGGGTCGCAGCCTTGCACCATTTAGATTCAAACCCTACTCCAACACACTTACCTGTATGTTCCAAACAAGCCTTAAGGACTCAACTGATCAGATGTGTTTAATTAGGGTTGGAACTGAGTTTGACACCCCTGATGTAGAAATATTGCACATAGCATGAAAGCTATTTGATTATATCTGAGGTGACCAAACTTGGGCTTATAGGAAAACATAGGAATGTGGTAAACTTTAGTTAGACCGGGGGTCCGTTCTTCTTTACTATAGTAGCCATAGTAACATAATAGCCGGTTTCTTAATCGATGTAAAGAATAACTAGATGTTTACAAAAGCAATTATATATTGGCAAAGTTGTCTGCAACTTTTGTGAAGCATCAAATCATCGCCATATTAGCTGTCAAAACATGTTCATGACTGCATATGTATTATTGTTTTTTTTTCTCTAAAAAGTCACATATTGTGCATTTCAATTACACACAAATTAATCTAAAAAGTTCATATCAATAAATGGTCTCTATGAACCACCAGGTGGCAGTCTTTGTACTTTTATTTTGGAGTACAGATTGCTTAAATTTTATTAATATTAATTTTATTAATAATAATAATAGATAGAAAGAAAGAAAGATGTTTACTATTTTCCCAAGTGTATATAACTACTAAGAAAATATCAGAATTCGGTAAATTCATTCATTTTTCTTTTTGCTTTGTCTCTTTATTAATCTGGGGTTGCCACAGCGAAATGAACCGCCAAGTTATCCAGCACGTTTTTACGCAGCGGATGCCCCTCCAGCCGCAACCCATCTCTGGGATACATACACACACACTCATTCACACACATACACTACTGACAATTTAGCTTACACAATTCACCTGTACTGCATGTCTTTGGACTGTGGGGAAAACCGGAGCACCCGGAGGAAACCCATTCGAACGCATGGAGAACACGCAAACTCCACACAGAAATGCCAACTGACCCAGCCGAGGCTGGAACCAGCAACCTTCTTGCTGTGAGGTGACAGTACTACCTACTGCGCCACTGCGTCACCCTAAAATTCAGTACATACCTTCAGTAATATCTTTGCTTGAACTGACCCGAGCTAATCCTGTTTATATGAAATGAGCCTGCTCTCTAGCAGGTTTGAGCTACTAGAACTGTTGCTTTGACAACAACTCTCGGATCAGTTTTGAAGAACGAAACTATGCTTGATTGTGTCATATCCCCAATAACCAAATCAAGCTAACCGAGTAATCCACGGACGAATAACGGACCCTTGGTGTACTTAAGATTACCAGGGAAAAATTGTCTTAATTTTTTCTTTCTTTCATTTTAAATGTAGAAAGCCCAATAATGAGTGTTGTAAGTTTTCTTTTTGAACTAGAATGCATCATGTTTAAATTTAAATAATAATATTTCTTCCTAGCAAATGGCTAATGTTGATATAGTTTCATGATTTACAGGAGACAGCCACTAAAATGTAATTCTCTACATCACTTTCATGGGAAGAGCAAATTCTTTGAAATGAGTGAACCCTTGTTACTTGGTTTAAGAGAGTAAGAAAGCAGATAAATGAAAAGGATATGGATTACATCTACACATTTTATCACAAAATTTGTGTTTTGTTGCATGAATACATTCTGGTGGTCATTTTCACAGTATTTGCCATAATAATTTTCACTGGGCAGAGAGTAGGTGGTTTTGTGTCTATTTGAGGGAGTGTTTACGCTGCTAAAGAAATCTGATAAACACATTTGAAACATTTACCTCAGTATTTAGCATCTTCTAAATATCTACTTGGAGAGAAACTCTTAAGTCCCGAGCTACCAGCATTTTTCAAAAATATCTTCTTTAGTGTTCAACTGAAGTAAGAAATTCGTAAAATTTTTTTACCAGTGAAAGTTGTGTGAATGATTTCCTTTTTAAGTAAACCGTCCCTTTTCTTTTATCTTAGCAGGGCTAAAGACATAGAATGGCAATGTTTGTTGTCTACAGCTTTTTGTTATACCTCCTTTTCTGTAGGCCGGACTCAAAGTCAGGGGCTGGAATGGATAAGGAACTCTGCTCGGCTGAGACTGTTCAGGGCTTTGCAGCAACCCTGGTGCCGCTCTTGCTGGAGATCTGGGTGGAGGCAGCAGGTGGAGGTCGTGTGCAGACCGACAGCGGCCACTTGCTGTCCGCAGAGTCCATGGCTCTTATGTTCCAGATCCTCTCCATACTGCAGTTACTGAGAAGAATGACCCCACAGAGAGACCAACAGGATGTGCTGGTACATTCACTTACAATGCAGATTCAGAGGAAGCGTTGCTCATGTTGTCACTTTCATAAACCCAGTTTTCACTGTTCCATGCAGGATGCCTGGTTCAGAAACTCATACCTGACAGATTTTAAACAGCACTTCATGAAGAACTTCCCTTACGGCCTGCTGGAGGTGGCAAGACACAAGAAGAAAGCTGATGGAAAGAGGTGATCAAAAAGTCCAGGGGCCTCATTTTTAAAAATTTTAAGTACACATACAAGTCAGATTTTGTGTTTTCATCAAAGGTTTTAGTTTTGTAGTGCAGCTTGCATGCCAAAATGTTGCCTTTAGAAAAATGCGAGACCTTACATCAGGGCTTTCCAATTGGCGGTCTGCAGGCCGAACCTGTCCCTCGAGGCAGTTTGTTCTGGCCCTCCAAATAGTGTGACCAAGACATCAAAAATAAATTCAGTTCAGTCGAAAAAAAGCAGCTATAGTTATAAAGTGGCGTGCGTCTGTTCAATACAGCACGGGCTGCAGAGGCTGCGCAGATCGTGAGCCACCATAAACGAGTTGTGCAGACAGCCGAAAACATTTGGATATGATTTGTAGAAAATGCCTTTTGTACAATGCACTGTAATCATTAATAGGGATGCAACGATTAGCTGATTTCACTATTAACTGCGCTTTAATTCATCACAGTTAGTTAATCGTAATGGCTTCTCTAAGCTGCATTTATGTTGCATGGAAAAGTTATGAGAAGTTGCCAACTGTGCGCTAGTTTAAAGTTCCAAGTATGTACACCGAGGCTACTACGCACACACTGGATTAACTATAGCAGTGGCTGTACCCATATCTTGTCTTTCCCGCTTGCAAGATTGTTATTTCTAATGTAAGAATGACAATATGCGCACACAAGCGGAGCAACGCGCTTGCATCTTTGCATCTTAACCTATGAATGTGTCTGAATGTAGAAAAAGCCTACTTCAGCAATGCACTGCTTTTGTTGTGCGAAATACAACATTTGAATGTTTGTAAAAAAAAAAAAAAAAGTCAATTGGACAATGCAGTTGTTTTAACACACAATATATTAACATTTTAATATAGAAAAAAGACAACGTGGGTGTATTTATGAGCACAAATACAGCATATGGGCTCTTATATGTAGTTGTGCCATCACTCATATAGCAAGTCATATCTCTCTGGCCCCTTTGTTTGGGATGCTTTTCATGAACCGGCCCCCATGACAAACTAATTGAATAGCCATGCCTTGCATTATTACAGTCATTCAGTATTAGCATTAGGGTTGTCAAAAATACAAACTGATACATTAATTAATTTACTTTTCGACTTAGTCCCTTTTTTAATCCGGGGTTGCCTCAGCGGAATGACCCGCCAACTTATCCAGCACATTTTTACGCAGCGGATGTTCTTCCAGCCGCAACCCATCTCTGGGAAACAAACTGATACATACATTTTAAAAATGACCATTTCTCGCTAACTTGAGTGCTGTTGATCAGGTTCTTAAGGGATAGTTCACCCAAAAATGAACATTGTGTCCTTTACTCATCTTCATATTGTTTCAAATCCTTTTGACTTTCTTCTGTTGAACACAGAAGAAAATATATTTTAAATATAATATAATTTAAAAAAAAAAGCCATCACTTTCCTTAAGCATTAATTTCCTAATGTTTTTATTTACTCTGGAACTCGCCATAGTGAAGTTTGCAGCTCTCAACCACTGCAAGTTATATTATATACAATATTCTCATTAATCATTTAATCAAAGGAATTGCATTCATTCTCTGGATTCAGGCTTGGCTGTACATAGAAATTACCTATATTTTTTATAGTGAACAGGAAGTTAGGGCTGGGCAATTTGGCAAAAATGCGATTTCAATAACATCTTTTTCATATTGAACAATAATAATTTATATATCAATATTCAGTAGTTAATGCGTCTAGATTTAAGAGTATCTCAACAATGACTGAAGCCACAAAAATGAGGGTTCATTAAATAGCATAATCTATTTTCAGTGGCTGTATATTTGGTACATCTCTAATATCAACACACTCTTAGATTCCTATTGTTGTACATTTCTGCTGTGTGATTGACTCTTAGATCAATATAGAGTCAAAAATTCCAGAACTTATCATTATCAACCAAAATGTTGTTGTGATTGAATATCATATTGTTAATAAGCTTAGCCTGCTAGGAAGAGTTTTTGGAACAGAACAGTTTTGCAAAGTAACGCAAAACTTCTTTGCAAAGAAATGCAAAACATCTTTCTAAGGGAATGCCCAAGTATTGCAAGGGAATTCAAAACTTAACGAGAACGCGAAACCTTTTTTTTTTCCTCCTAGTTTTTTTCCCAATCACATCTCTTCCAGGGCTCCATACTAATCCGTATCTATAATATTCAAATCTCTATAAAAATATTTATATCATATCTTATTATGTCATATTCAAATTTAAATGAAAAAATTTCACTCAAGAAAATATGCAAACTTTGAATGCAACTCTTTTGCGTAAAAGCTATGAGGCAGTGGTTCTTCAGTACTGTCTTATTGGACCTAATCAGACTTATTTGACTACTGAATTAATTCATATTTGTTTCTGATTTAAATTGTCTGTTCTGTTTTCTTATATAGAAAACAAATGAAAGTAGAATGATTGTTCACCACCTGTCCTTTTAATGCAAAATACCATTTTAAGTGTATGTTTTAGTAAATGAGGGTGCACATGCATAGCTTTTCGTTTTTGCTTATCAATTTGTTTGTTTTAAAAAATATATATATTTAAATAAAAATGTGTGTACTGAGGCCCTCTAGTGGTTGAAAAGCACTACTGTATAAATGTGTAAATCTTCTGTGTGTGGTCAGGATCAAGCAGCCAGTTGCAGCAGGAGTGGTTGCAGGGAGCACTGTGGAGCCATTGGCTGTAAACGTCACATTGTGTCAAGTTATGGTCACACTCAGTCTTAGGGGCCAGGATCATGTAGCAGCTGAAGATGCTGACTGGCTTGGACCAATCAGGGTCTTTATTAGAGAAACATTGTCCAATGGGAGCAAACTGAGCTCAAAGCACCTGGCAGCCTTACTGGAGGTGGTGTGGAGGATGATTGTCACTCAGCGCAGCCGTGGTGAGAGCTTTTTCTTTGGTTTTGTTTTCTAAGACAGTTCTGCTGAATTAAAAATATTTGTTTGTGTGTGTTTGCAGTGGTGACGGATGAGCTCCTGCAGGCTGTGTATGTGCAGTACCAGCAGAGGAATCTGAGTGTGAATGTTCGCTCTCTGCTGCTGCGCTTTTTTAGTCAGCTCTACATTCAAGAGCATCAAAACCACCCTCATATCGCCAGGTTGGTGCTATTTGTTTGTGTTTGAACCTGATCTTTTCTTTTTTTTCCCAAAATTAATGTTTTCTGGTGGTCTTTTAAAGTTCTATACAAACACTGCTGTTCCAATGTTTAAGATCAGTAAGATTTTTTTAAATACAAATTTTATATTAATAATACTTATATTCATAAATGCATCAATTAATTCAAAATTGCCACTGAGCAATGTATAGTTCAAATAATTTTTTTTGCCACACAATCAAACATTAAAATAAATAATTAGTAATACTTTTTTATTGAATGTATAATAATAATAATAATAATAATAATAATAATAATTTGATTTAAATTGTAGCATTATTTCAGATTTAAATTATTATAATTTTGTTATTATACTATGCTTTTTTGTATTTGCTGAACACAAATAACTTTTTCAGAATTAAAAAAATGGTTTTAAGATGAGACATCAAGTTTTGGTGTCCATATGAAATTAACAGTTGCTTTTTTAATTATTATTATTATTATAATTATTGTTTAATTTTTTATGCATTCAAAGTAAGGTGTATCCTTGCACATTACATTTTAGGTTTTTTTTTTTTAGGTTTTTTAAAAATCATGATAGAAAATGTATTGGTCTAAAATTAGTACAAATAACTGTGTGCTTCTATATTGGCTAATTTTAAAGTTTGTAATAGTGTCTAGTTTCTTGTAACAGCTAGAAGAGTGAAAAGTTTGTTTGTATTTCAGGAGCAGGATTTTGGCCCGCTGGTTGGCATCTCTGCCGGTTCAGTTGGTTCAGCTGGGCAGCAGGAATCCTCAGCTCTCCGCTCAGCTGCTGGAGACGGTTCAGCCCGCGGCCGCGAGGGGCAACAAAGACCTTCTGCAGAGTCTCCAGAAAAATGCCTGCAGTCTTTATGGTAATCGCATATGCTAATAGACACAAACAGCTGTTTAGCACTGTGGCGTATGTGTGCGTGTGTGTTTGAGAGAGAAGCTTGTGTAAGCGCTGGCGTCTCCGGTTCTGTGTGTGATATAAGCTCTCTGTAGTTTTGTGTTTCGAGAGCACAGTTCTCTCTTTGTATGGCTCGCCGCTCATGACATCAGCAGCGTGCGTCAGCAGCTAATAATGTCTGTCTATCTGCGATCACTGACAGGACAAAACCCGTTCTTTCTTACTTTTTCTGTCTCGCACACACAAATTCCCTGCTCGCTGTTGAGAGATAGCAGTTGCAGAAATCTGTCAACAGGCGAAGCTGTTTTCTGATCAAGTTTCACAATCAGAATAGAGCTTTGATGTCGGTTTTCTGTTGCCTAAGAGTTATTTTTAGAACAAAAGCTATTTTAAAAATTATTATGTGTTTATAAACAATATAATAATATAAATAATTATCATTTTTATGTATATTTATATATATATGAAAAGTTGGTGCACAGTCTGAGGCAGCCTTTTCATTAACATTTTTTTGAGTGTTTATTTGTGGGATATAAATTATGTGTACCATATTTTCATACTGCACGTTTCCATATACAGTTACATTCATTTTCATTCAGTTTCCTTTGGCTTAGTCCTTTTATTTATCAGAGGTTACCACAGCGGAATGAACTGCCAACTTATCCAGCATATGTTTACTCAGTGGATGCCTTTCCAGCTGCAGCCCAGTACTGGGAAACACCCATACATTCTCTCACACACACACACACACACACACACACACACACACACACACACACATACACACACACACACACACACACACACACACTACGGACAATTTAGCTTATTCAATTCACCTGTCCTGCATGTCTTTGGACTGTGAGTGAAACCGGAGCACCCAGAGAACAGACATGAATATGGGGAGAAAATGCAAACTCTACACAAAAACTCCACAACTGGCCTAGTCAGGGCTTGAACCAGCGACCCTTCTTGCTGTGAAGCGACAGTGCTAACCACTGAGCCACCTTTCTGCCTCTTTCAGTTGCATTGTTGAGGAAAAAATACAGATTAGAGAGTTTTAATGTTTCATTCAGAAATAATGTAAAACAGGGTACAAATAAAGCTGATCCACTCCCGAGTATTTCAGCATTCTCTCTGAAATCACTGGATTTATCTAGGCTGGCAGATCAACATTCACCGCATGATCAGCTCCAACCTTTGTACTTTTCATTGCTTCTTCCTCAAACTTCAGCCATTGCAGTTCCTGCGGTCACAAAAACCCTTTCTCAACTACTGCGCTTAAAAAGTGGAGCGCGCTGCGTCGGTGCGCGTCCACATACATCGGAAATAATCAACTTGCACAAGCTTGCCTTAGTTAATAGCCTCAGTCATTGTTAATCCAATGTGCATAGTCTCGGTGTAGTGCACAATTGGCATAACTTTAGTTGCTGCAGTTTTGTTCTGTGCAGAAACGCATTGTTGAGAAGCCTTTACGATTAATTAACCGTGACGAATTAAAGCGCGGTTAATAGTGAAACCAGTTAATCGTTGCGTCCCTATTTGTGAGTTTGTTATATGATATGTAGAATGCACGGAAAGCAGCCGCATAGAGAAACACTGTAGCGCTGGTCAAGATTGCGAGTGTTTAAATATGACTTATGAATTGTTAGTGGTGCCAAACAGCATTTCCCCTTGTTAACATCCTTATGTCCTTGCTACAACATATCAGTAATGCTAGATACTATGCATGTAATAGATCAGTTTTGCCAAATACAAATTCTCACAGGTTGTGACTCACAATGCACAGCTTCTGATATTATGGTTGGAGCTGCTCCTTCTTTGAGGAGTTTTTAGCTGAATCCAGCACTGAACTGAGAGAGATTCTGCAAGCTGTCCTTTGTCAAATGCTAGCTATATAATTTTTAGAATTCTCCAGAACATTATAAAAGGTAAGCACTCCTCTCTTTGTGCCATGTCCTTTAAGCCCAAATACAGAAACCAAACAAGCTCAGTGGAAATAGCAGCATTTGGACAGCATTTTAGCTCTCTCTGCTGTAACGTTACAGCATCTCTGGCCATGCCCCATTGCTGTGTGGGGTGTATGCTGATAGTGAATGTGCATAATTTGAAGCATTTGTGGTCTCACTTACTCAGATGTATTTTTTATTTTTTTTTGCTAGGCCTCAAACTTTGTTTGCTGTAGGCTTTGCTAAGCTAACTCTATAAAAGCCATTGTGTCCCTTTGCATTAAACTTTGAGCATATTACATACAGAGATGTTGTTTATGTTCACACATCTACATTACATCAACTAAAGTTTAAAATATGATGTCCATTTAAAAAAGTTACTTTTATTCAACATAATATGGTATCTTTTTATTTATGTGCATAAAATATGTTCATAAATTGCAGATCCGCAGGAGGGCTGTGTGGTGGTGCTGCCTGTGGAGTCCCAGAAGAGACTGGTTCAGATTCTGCATTTCCTGCCAGAGTTTCCAGCCGAGCTGCTAGCGTGTCTCAGTGAGGTCTGCAACACTGGGAGAGTTTCTGCGAGTCTGGCCACCACACTCATACGCACCGTACACCTGAGGTATGAGGGTTATGACACTTCAGCAGCACTAATGCAGTCTGAAATCTGCTTTCCCAGGACTGCTGGATAGAGTTTAAAGTGGCAGGGAGAAGAGAATTGTCTTCTGTATTGTATCTTCTAAATCTGACTAAGCAACATCGGAAACTAATAGGATCTCAATCTTATGTTTTCTGTTAAATGTGTTTTGTTTAGTGTTTTTTTGTCTAATTTTGTCTTTCTTTGTTTTATGTTATATTTTTGTTTTGTTTGATTTTATTTGTTTTTATTTTATTTTATTTTTATATATTTTTTGTTTTGTTTTTTTTTTGTCTAATTTTGTCTTTCTTTGTTTAGTTTTTTTATTTTATTAATTTATTTTTTGTCTAATTTGGCGTGTTTTGTTTAGTTTGTTTTGTTTTATTTTTGTCTGGTTTCATTTCATTTTGTTGTTTTTCTTTTGTTGTTGTGTTAAATGTTGTTTTGTGTTATTAATTAATATATTTTGTTCAATTTTATTGAAAAAGCAAACTTTTGTTTTCGAGATTTAATTGAATCAGATTGAAAATTTGTTTTTGTTCGTTTAATTCTGTAACTTGGGAAAATTAATAATTCAATATCTAAAATAATTATGATGTCCAACCTTAGTGAATATTATTTCTCTGTACTTGCCTCGGTGCACCCTTTGGTTGCTTTTTAAACTCAGAAATTACATCCCCTACTTCTTCATAGTTAGTCTAAAGGGAAGGATATTTCCATAATTTTAAATATCTTTGTACCTAGTGTATTCCTATGATGCTTTTTAAATGAGCATATCACTTGGTTTAGTTTCAAGTTTACATCACGTCATTTTACAGATTACATAAACATATACTCATCTTACACACTCTAATTTTAGAATACTTCTCAGGCAAGTTACCAGACATAATACTTGCTTAAATGAGGACAAATAAGTGCATTAGTGTGTGTGTATGGCCGTGCATGTGCAGCTCAGTTATGAGCAGGACAGTATCAGTCTGCATCTGACTGATATGTTTAAAATGTGACTGCCGACAGGAGACAGCAGCCTCTGAGTTTTCCCTGCTAATAGAATCAAGCAATTTAGCCAATCGGGGACAGCCGAGAGCAGTGCGGTGCGATCAGAGGATGGCCAGTTCTCCCACTTAACTTTGATTGGCCGTGACCGTTAGTCATTACCCACGATTGGCCGTAATGAGGCGGAACAGAGCCACGAGTCACTGCACAGTGAGGCGGAGGTCATGCTGTAGTGTGTTCTCTGTATTTAGAGACAGTAGGCAGAATAACAAATAGTTTAGCAGTTTAAACATTTTGTCAAGAAGCTGTTGCGAAGTACGCTTAGAGTTGGAAAGAGATTTTATTAAGTGAGAGGACATTGTTTTAGTCTTAAGAAAAAGACGTGACATTTTAACAACATAAGAAATTGATTGAATTGACTTTAAGCAAAATTAGTTAAAAATAACATACACTTTTAAAAATAAATAATCCTTATTGGCATAAGTGGCTTTATTGGCATTGATAATTCCACATAGAACCTTTAAAGGGATAGTTTACACCAGAGATGACTGATTTTGTCATTATTCATTCAGCCTCCACTTGATCCAAACCTGTTTGTTTTTTGTTCTGAAAAAACAAAGGATGTTTTGAAGAATGTTAAACTGGTATCCACTGTTAATATTTACAATGTTTTTGGAAGCCAATGGCTACTCATTTCCAACATTCTTCAAAATATCTTCTTTTCTGTTTTTCTGTTGGGTACTACTTGAGGGTAAATTGTGTCAATTTTAATCTTCTGAATATTAATTTCCATTGCAAGGTAAAAGGTGCAAGAAGGTTGTTTAGATTATTCAAATGTTCTTTAGTTTGTTTACTGAAGCTATTAAAATTATTTTGTTAATAGAACTAAAACTAAAAAAGTCAAAACTTTTATTTAATAACCTGCATAGTTCAATTTACATTGACATTTTGATCTAAACGTCAGAGTACTAAATCAAACAGATCATCCAAACATCTTTCTAAAATGTAATTAAAATTCATTTCTAAAATAAGTTAAACCTACAATAAACATTAAATCTACAAAATAATATTTAAGCTAATTCGAAATATTAATACATACTATATATTGGTGTATGGGCTGCACAGTGGTGCAGTGGGTAGCACGTTTGCTTCACAGCAAGAAGGTCGCTGTTTTGAGCCTCAGCTGGGTCAGTTGACGTTTTTGTGTGGAGTTTGCATGTTCTCCCCTTGTTCATGTGGCTTTCCTCTGGGTGCCCTGGTTTCTCCCACAAGTCCAAAGACATGCGGTACAGGTGAATTGGGTAGGCTAAATTGTCCATGGTGTATGTGTGTCAGTGAGTGTGTATGGATGTTTCCCAGTGATGGGTTGCAACTGGAAAGGCATCCGCTTAGTAAAACATATGCTGGATAAGTTGGCGGTTCATTCCGCTGTGGCAACCCCAGATTAATAAAGGGGACTAAGCCGAAAAGAAAATTATGATATTGGTTTATACTGTATTTGTTAAAAGTAACACAGCTCCTTATTCAAAAAGAGGTTTATTTAAATTAGGCTGGTCAAGCTGGCTTTAGCTGGCTGGAAGACCAGGCTGGAAATGACCAAAACCTCTTAAACACCAGTCTGGTTGACCATTTAAAACTACCGAACCAGTTAAGGCTGGTTTAAGCTGTATTTTTCAGCAGGGACGTTCCTAAATTGAATAAAAATGTTAAAAGTCTTACACTAAGACTGATAAGCATCGACATTTAAATTTAATTTTAACTAGTTGACTAGTTCTGGATGATTGACAGAATATTCCTTCGAGTTCCTCCACATGCTGAGGGCCTCGGGTGTCTGAGTACATCTGTGTGTGTATCTCTGACACGCTGTGTCCCCACTGCACTTCTTTTTCTCACTAGCCTAAAGCCACTCTTTTATTTGTGGATTTCCCTCAAATCCTAATGGGATCCATGTTTGAGTGTGTGACTTTGAATCCCTGTGTGACGCTTGTGGATGTGTTTTGGATACGCTGCCTTTCCTCCGGGCTCTTTCAGTTTGCTGATGCTAGGCTGAGTGTCGCCCACAGAGGGCAGTGTTGTTCTTTTGATGAGATTGTCGAGTTCTCCGCTCAAAGTCTCACCGAAATTCCAAAACAAATGCTACAGCAAGCGAATTCACACCGACTGCACTTTTTGGAAAGTCTGGACGTGTGACAGGATTCCTCCATGATAAGAGAAGCATCTTTTAAGGCCGCTTCTGTTCATGGCAGAGCTGCGTGACATGCTGTTAAGTGAGCCAATCCTCGGAACAACATGAACCGAACATTCTGTCCTTCGCAAAAAATTCACTTTGATCACATCAGCAGAACAAGACTAAACTCCTGAAGAGTTTTAAACAGTGGCCATGAGGTTCGGAACGTGGTGATAAAGTTGGACAAAGGGCTAATACTTTAGCGATAGTTTTGTGTGTTGTCCGATTAGCCGTGCGTGTGTGTGTGGTTGGCAATGGCATGCTGAATGGTGAATCTTTGTTGTGTGTGTGTGTGTGTGTGTGTGTGTGTGTGTGGCCCTTTTTACTAATGGGTTGATGGGAAATTAGCCAATCAGTGTGTATTAAGGAAGTCCAGCACATGCTCATTCCACAATCATAAAAGAACTGAAATCAAAACAAGTAAAAGATCAGATATTCATGCATTTTATTGGCCTCGAGGCTGATCCACATCTGTAAGGGCGAATCATAAGACAGCAAGATTGTCCTCAAGTAGCTTTAACACACACGCACACACTGGTTCTGTCTGATTTCCTGCTTGGAAAAGCACTGTGGCTATGTAATGGCAACTTTTGACTGTGTCTACTAGACCTCAAATTCTTGGTGAAATAAAATGCGTATGGAGGCATTGAAAAATGAAGCCACTGCTGGACTGACCTGAAGCTCTTTCCAGTGACCTTGATTCATGTGCCCTCTGTAGAGTGCTTTGATTGATATTTTGTTTTCAAATTCTGTCCAAATATTCAAGATTTAATATTTTCTGATTTGTTTCCTTTGTTTAATATGTTCGAGTTTCAGTTTTCCTAATTTTTACCTTTTACTTTTATTATTATTATTATTTTTTTTGTGAGTTTTTTTAATGATTAAATTAATCTGTAGTCAAAAGCATACCCAATTAATTGAAATCAGGAAACTTGCATAATATAACAAGATTTTAATGGCTGTTGAATAAAAACACGTTTACTTAAATTACAGACTCCGGCTAAAATATCAAAGGCTCATTTTAACAACTATTTTTTAAAAGGTTATAATTATTCTATTTTGTACTTTAGGTACATTCTACTGTACTCAAACCTTTTATTTTGATGACTTCTCAGTTCAGTTTCTGTGTTTATAGTGACTAAATATTTGACTTTACAGACATGTATGCTTAAATCATGCAGCTTAAAGGCAGACATTAAGGTTAAAACACTTATTTCCTTGAATCTGTCACCTTCCTCCTCCATTACTAATGCTTGTATTAATATATTCATATACCCTGCATTATTATAGTATATGTTTTATAAACCAGTTACAAAAGCAAATAAAACCCTTTAGGGATTTTAAGCATTTCTTCAAATGTCCTAAAGCGACACTATATGTTGTCTATCACACTGTAAGGATGACCACCGCGATTCCTCAATCCGCTGAGTGTCCTCATTTGCTGAAGGTGAGTGTTTTTGTGGCTGGAGCTTGATTTCAAAGGAAATGAGGGATCTCAGATGGCTAGTATTTTTAGTCTGGCATTCAGAGCTGGAGCGCACACACACACAGGTACAGTGCGAAGTGTGTAACAGGAGAGCGGATCAGTGTCGGGCCGCTGCACACTAATGCATGTGTGCTTCCTCATAGGTCTCCTCTTAGCGGCTGCTCCAGCGCCTCGCAGGATGTCCCGCTGAAGGATGTCGATTACCTCAGTTTCTTTTTCACCACATTAACAGGTGGCTGCACACACACACACACATATAAATTCAATCAGTCCTTTCTGGATTTTGTGAGCATTTATAATACACAACTTTATAAGCACCTTTGGCTCTCAAATTTCTTCTACAAAAGCAGTCATTATCATTGTAAAAACCTTGAAATATTACATTATCGAATACAGTGTATTTTAGGGCTGCATATTATATCGTTTTAGCATTCATGTCGCAATGTACACACTCGCAATAGTAACATCGTAGCATGTGCAATATCCAGTCTGGATTATAGTCAATCAGGTATGTTAGTTTATCATTGCAACATCTATCCAAAATGTAGTGAAAGTGTATCGTTTGCATGTTTTTTTTTTATTTTAATTATTATTTTTAGGCATTTCCATAGATATATACACTAGATATCGCATACAGATCCTGAGCATGTGTCAATACCACTGCCACATTTGAACAGGTGTCCTAGGACAAATGTCATTCTACCGCACTTAGTCAAGACTAAAACCAATTTGAAGATTCTGGACTATTGCGCTGCATATCGGTGTATTAACAAGCAAACAAAAAAAAAAACAAAGCCTAAAGGCTGAACATTTCATAAGTAAGACTTTGTTTTTTATGATTTCGTATGTTATGAACTTTTGTGCTAAATAAGTTATGTTATCGATGACAATACAGTCACTTACTGCACCGACCAAAAGGCAAAGTAGCACCAACTTGCACTAAATTCTAGGTTTATGCTAGTCTTGTTGAATAAAATCAGCAAACAATGTAAATGAAATATGACAACAAGATGCTGCGGTTCCAGAAACTTGTGTTATTGTCATATAAGTGAAGTACGGCTAGTTTATTTTTACTTATAAGGGTGCCTGATAACATAATGGTGCCTGCGCCTCTATGTGCACACTTTCCGCCCTAAATTATTGAATATTACAAATTGTGTTTACCATTTAAATCAGAAAGGTGGATATGCACATTGAGAGGCAGAGATATCAGTGCTTACGAGTTATTCATAATGGATATTCATTCATAAACATATCACTCCCTCTGTTAGTTTAGAAGTGAAAGCGGGAGAGAGGGTGTGTTTCAGGACATGGATTAGATCAATTTTAGCAGGGAGGGTAAATAATACATTTCCATGCAAACAAACACATGCTCTTTGTAGGTAATGCCCGTGCGGTCACTTATCCATCGATATAGAAAAGTGATGTAAAATTATAATTTTCGTAATTTAAAAAATTATTTGTTTACTGACTTCTGGGAAAACTCCCGATCATAGATACATATATAAATGTTTACATGTATATGTCTCCATATGGCCAGTCCTCCACTACACCTTGGTCCCACATTCATTTCAAAGGAGCGCTACCCTGTACTTATGTAAATATCTATGAAGCATTTCAAGGAAGCAGAAATCATAAGAAATTATATTGTTTGAAGCTTTAGATTAAGATCATTGTTTTTAATTATGGTTTTGATAAAGAAGACTATACAGTAATATTTAATATGTCATTTTTCAAGTTTTGTGCGTGAATACTATATAAAGACAACATGTGGTAAAATTGTATTTATCGCAAAATAAATTGCAGGAAAACAAAATATAATTTTTTCCCAATATCGTGCCGCTCTAGTGTATTTGTTAGTTCATTCAATCATAATTGCTGGCCAACTGCATTTCATTGTGATTTTATGTAAATATATGCTAAACTATTGTAAAAATGTTAAGTTTGCCATGAAGCCATTTTCCTAAATTGAGTTAAAGAAGTAAAACTTATTTGTATTTTCACTAAATATTGTTAAATCAACTATAAGTTTACCTTTATCAGTTCAATGCAGACACAGCCTACTTCAAGTTATTCTTGGCTGAATGAGAGTTTCAGTAAAGTCACATGATGGATTTCTAAGATAGTTTGTAATATGGCAATTTTTGTGTGTGTGATGGTAGACTTGTAAAAACCTGTAAAGACTGATTGAGTGATATTGAGTGCCGGCTTTATACTTCATGATGTTGATAAAGCAGTGTTTCCATGACCCTGTGCTTCAGGTTTCTCCTCTGACATGTTGCGGGCTCTGCAAGACAAAGATGAAGACGATCTGTTGGCCGCCTCCACGCTCTCGCCCCTCAGTGTGTACACCACCAGTTTGGATCAGTTCCTGCATCACTGGGACGTGGTGGAGGTGAGTCTCTCTCTCTCTCTTTAATCTCTGTCTTTAGTCGATCCAGCTGTTTGTGCTTTGTCAGTTGTTATGCTGTCAGTCACTGGTGTAAGTTTCTGATCCTGTTGTCAATCGTTGTGTCCCCTCTAAACACCTCTCTCTTTCTCCTCTGTTGCTCACTTGGCTGCTAATCCCATACAAAAATCTCAGTCAAGACTACTATTTTAAGTATTTTCTTGAATTATTTTGGTGACAAATAATTGCATGTTGTTTGCTTGTAAAAATTAAAAAAAAAGTTCTATTCACTAAAGAATACCAGTATTTAAAAAATGACATTTTATAATTGTTATAGAAGTGCTTTTAGGCGTATACTCAGACGATCAAAGAGTGAAATTAGAGCTGGAGTTTTTGATAATATATATCATTACCACGAATTGAATAAGCTAAATTGGCTGTAGTATTTTATAACTTTCTTTATTGTTTTTTAAACATTCGAACACAATGACTTACAAATTCAGACCTACAAACATTTACACAACAATTGACAATAAAAGAGAACAAACAATACAGAAGTAAAATAATAATAGATAAATACAATAAATAAAAAAAGAGAAGAAAATACAAAAACAGAATCAAATTAATAATTAAACCTAAATATTTTATTACCTTTTATATTTTAAAATTATATAAATTATATTATATAAACCTTTTATATTTTAAAATATAAACTAAATACTGACCCTTTAAATTAGTCTGATTTCAATTTCCCGTAGAATTTATGTCTTTAAAATAATTTATAAAAGGTTGCCAGATTTGATAGAATTGTCTGGTTTCTTTTTTAGGCAGAATCAGATTTTTCTCCAGTTCCAAATGTTTCATTACATCCCTCATTAGATGTATATATGTAGGAACAGCTTTTTGTTTCCAGTTTAATAATATTAATCTTGGTTCTAGTTTTTAGCTATCTTAGGAATTATTTGAATAATAATACAGTTTGTCCACACAACTCAGTTGAACTGTAAAAGTGGAATTTATTGGCTATTATGGAAGGGTTTATCCACGTTCAATGTCCTTTTCATTTCTGTAGAAATTATTAGAGATATAAAGTTCTATTAGTTTGTTTTTTGTTATAACTAGGCTACCTATTTAACTATATTGTAAAAAAAATTATCACTGTGAAATAAAATTACTCTTACCATGAAATAGAATTTTGTTCATACCGCTTGCCTCTATTTTAAAGGGCTAGTTCACACAAAGATGAAAATGATCCCATGATTTACTCTCAGCCATCGTAGGTGAAGTAGGACTTTCTTCTTTGAGACTGATCTCATCTGAGAACTTTATTCTCCCCCATTTTCTGTGTGGTGCACATTTTATTATGAATAGATGCGTTTTTGTTTTGGACTCTTGTTTTGGACTGTTGAAGAGGAAAAACTGAAAACTGCTTATACATTAACATCAAATAGTTATGTATTGTTTTCATGTTTCCAAAATGACGTTATGCTTTTGGGATTCTGACATTTTAAAATGTTATTTTTATTACTGATTTCTGAAAATTTTCTGTAGAAGAAACAGGAAGCAGTGTTTTGCGATGTCCAGAGTTATGTGTGGTTATCAACTTCCACCGAGCATCAGACATCCACTTGAATCAGTGCAGGGCCACTTGGGTTGTAATTCCAGGCACAAGTGCGTGTGTTTTTTTTTTTTTTTTTTTTTTAGTTTCCCCCTGAAGACTCAAGGCCAGTTCTCGAGCGGGCGAAGGTTTATCGTATCGCACTGGTGTAGGTGTCTCCATATTTCAATAAGGGCTGGTTATCAGAGTGCTCCTGGCTAAAGCAAATGCTAATGCCAGCCAGCGGACACCATCACCACCTGACATTTTACACGGAAATTAAAACCCAACAAAACCACACCCTCAGGCCAGGCTCTGACTCTCACTTTACTGCACACACACACACTGCTAATTCCTCTATGCAATTTTCTCTGGACTTTCATTTTTTGTGCCCAAGTCAATCAGACAGTAAAGGTGGTGAGGGACGGTTGGCATCTCTGTTGATACGGTAATGAGGAGTGACGGCGGAGATGATGCCAGCAGGTGAAGCTGATGGAAAATAATGGGCCTTAATGAGGAAAAGAGCCTGATTCTCTCCTCACGTACACAAGCACAGGACACAGTGTCTCAATCACTTCCCCCCTCCTGCTTATTAGAAATTTTATTTAACAATAAGAAATCACCTCGCAATAACACATTTAGATAGAAACTTTTGGTACGAGTTAATTGCACTCAACCTTTTTGAAAAAACAGAGGTGTTAATTATATTTTAAAAGTACTAGATACCTCTGTATCAAATGGTCAAAATAACAACTCTACAGTTGTTGTGATTAAAATTTAGAGGTTATTCCTCAATTTTCGTAATATTTCTGAAGTTGAATAATTGGTATTGTGTAAAATACAAACAAATCTATAATATTTTGTGTGTGTATATATATAGGCAAGGCAAGGCAAGTTTATTTATATAGCACATTTCATACACAATGGCAATTCAAAGTGCTTTACATAAACAAGAATAAAAGAAACAAGTAAAATAAAAATAAAAACAAATAATAAAAATGCATAAAAACAAAACATAACATAAAAACAGGCAAAATGTGATATGAAAGAATGAAGAAGAAGAGAAAAACATGATAGTGCAATCTGTCGGACGCAGCACAGTGCTCATTCAGTAAAGGCACAGCTAAACAGATGTGTTTTCAGTCTTGATTTGAATGTGCCTAATGTTGGAGCACATCTGATCATTTCTGGAAGCTGATTCCAGCAGCGAGGGGCATAGTGGCTAAAAGCCGATTCACCCTGCTTTGACTGAACTCTTGGAACTTTTAGTTTATTTGATCCTAATGATCTGAGTGATCTGTTAGGTTTGTATTCAGTGAGCATATCTGTGATGTATTTAGGTCCTAGGCCATTTAGTGATTTATAGACCAGTAATAATACTTTAAAATCTATTCTGAATGTAACTGGCAGCCAGTGTAAAGACCTGAGGACAGATGTGATGTGCTCTGATTTTCTGGTTCTGGTCAGAATTCTGGCTGCAGCGTTCTGGATGAGCTGCAACTGTCTGACTGTCTTTTTAGGAAGTCCAGTGAGGAGTCCATTACAGTAATCCACCCTGCTGCTGATAAAAGCATGAACAAGTTTTTCTAAATCTTCACTAGAAACAAAGCATCTGATTCTTGCTATGTTTTTGAGATGATAGTATGCTGATTTACTGACTGCTTTGACATGACTGTTGAAACTCAGATCTGACTCCAGAGTCACACCAAGATTCTTGACCTTATTTTTTGTCGTTTGACCTTTAGTGTCAAGGTACGCATTTACCTTGAGAACCTCATCTTTGTTTCCAAACACAATAATTTCAGTTTTCTCTTTGTTTAACTGAAGAAAGTTTTGGCACATCCAATTGCTCATTTCATCAATGCATGTATATCAGAAGATGGGCATGGTCAGCAGCTATACTCTGGTAGGCTGAGGCTCAATTGTTACTAATGGGCCCAAAGTGGGCCAAGAAAATATCCCCCAAACCTCCACCACCAGCTTGAACAATTGATACGAGGCAGGATGGATACATAGTTCATGTTGTTGACTCCAAATTTTGACCCTACCATCTGAATGTCGCAACAGAAATCGAGACTCATCAGATCAGGCAATGTTTTTTTTTTTTTTCAATCAGCTGTTGTCCAATTTTGGTGAGCCTGTGCAAATTGTAGCCTCAGTTTCCTGTTCTTGGCTGACAGAAGTGGCACCCAATGTGGTCTTCTGCTGCTGTAGCCCATCTGCCTCAAGGTTGGACGTGTTGTGCGTTCAGAGATGCTCTTCTGCATAGCTTGGTTGTAAGGAGTGGTTATTTGAGTAACTGTTGCCTTTGTATCAGCTGGAACTAGTCTGGCCATTCTCCTCTGATATCTCGTCATGTTATCTTTTGGTCATTTTTGGTCAAAAAAAACTTGCTGGTTGAATACAAGTAAGTTTAGGTCATGATTTTTTTTAATTGTCTTTGATTATGGTAATATACAGTAAATGCATACAGCATTTTCTATTCTAACAAGACTTGATTCGGTACATCATGCTTCACTAAGTTTTACATTTTTATCTATAAAGCTATTTTAGGTAAACTTTCATCTTATATTTGTACTCTTCTTTCACTTGGAATTTCTTTGCTTTTCCAAGTGTTTGCATTTTAATATACCCCGAGTTTGTACAGAGCTGGGATAAACGGCACTTTCTTATTGTGCACCTTGGGCATGGAATAATTAGCAAAGACTTGAAACTAAATCAAATTGTGTCTTTCTGTCATTTTAAAGACATTATTAAGAGAGTGGAATTGGAAGCATGTGAATGCTTTTGCTGAGAGGACTGATGAAATGTGTTTATTTATTTTAAAATATTCTGTATGGCTATTACTTTGGCCAGGTCACTCTTGTAAAAGAGATTTTAAATCTCAATGAGACTCCCTGGCTTAAATAATGTTAAAATAAAAAAAAGTGTGTGTGTGTGTGTGTGTGTGTGTGTGTGTGTGTGTGTATATATGAGGGAATGTCAACAGAATTAATAAACAATTGTGTTTCACGCAAGCTCAAATATTTCAATATTTATGTGTATGTTTGTTTTTAATTAAACACACACACACACACACTTTTAAAGGGTAGAGTTTTAAGCTAATTTCATTTTACTTGTAGTAGTAAGAATTTTTTTATGGAGCAAATCGATATTATCGTAATGATTTTTGATGCATAATGTGACAGACAACTGAAGCTGCTTAAAATTAATTTGTTTCTAAGATTTTGTAAAATATTTATAAAGCATGGATTTTAAATATTAATATTTCAAATATTGTTTTTACTGTATTTATGAAAAATAAGAGCAGGATTTAAACATAAAATACTTTCATTTTTTAAATCAGTAGATCTATCTTATGTTTTAAATGGCATGTTTACAAAACCTGGAATATGTTAAACAGGTTTTTTTCCCAGCACTTTATTTTCTTTCTGAATAAATGTTGCCAAACGTAAAAATGTGCTAAAAGTATATTTCAATCCTTCTGGGATTTTACATCAAACTCTTAAAGAAAATTCTCACCCTTTCTCAGATATATAGCATGACAATTAGCATCAAATTAAGTTTGGTGTGTGTGTGTGTGTGTGTGTGGCTGCTGGGGGTCCATTCCTTTATTGGCAATCAGGCGTCTGTAATGTGCAGCATGTGTAATGTGTTCTTAACGCTGTTAGTCTGATTAATGTCTGATAATAACCTGCTCTGAATGACATTCCGCTCCGCCTTCATCTGCTTAATCCAATCTGCCCTAATGCTATTAGCACTATTAGATTCCTCACACTCTTATTTATTGTTTGTGCTCATAAAATATCAGTTCAGAGTGGCAGCGTGTCGCTAATCTGTCCCATGTCAACTCACATTATGACAGAGTACAACCCTTTGAGCCCATCACTGTATGTGTGTGTGGGTTCTTTTTTACTCTGTGGACTTCTCTTTTGTCTGAGGATTTATTTTTGTCTGACCTAAACCATGTCTGTGTATGTGTGTGAATGTGTCAGATGTTAAGATGTTGTGATGTATAATTCAGTGGTTCTTTGTAGACTGAGACCGAAAGCTGAAAGACTGGTCACACTTTTTTTCTATCTCAAAAGTGACTGTTACTCCAATCTGACTTCCTTTTTTATTTATCTTAATTATAATTTTTTATTTAAAGGGCACTAGTGATGAAAATCAACTTTTGTAAGGTGTTTGGACAGAACCGTGTGTAGGTATAGTGTGTGCACAGTCATATATCGGAGTTATGGAAACCCAATAGGTCTTTCTTTTTAATTTTCCCTGCGTTAAAATAGGATCCAATCCCTCCCATTTTGAGGCCCACCACAACATGATGCAGAAATGCGGTTTCCCTGCCCACCGAATTGATTGACAGACGCTTATTAACATGTTTCCATTGTAACAAAAATAATCATATCAATAAGACAGGACATGCACACAGCAACTAGGATTAAAAGATCTGTTCAGCTCTCTGTGATCATCTGCACCTCAACAATGTGTTTTGAGTTTGAAATGTTTTTAAAGCAGTGCATGTTTGTAATAAATACAGTAAAATTCGTACGTAATTCATCATCACAGCCGCATAGCAGTACAATTATAAAAGACAACATTTCAGTACTGGTTTGTGGACTTAAATCAGGCTTATTTTGAAAAAGGTAAACATTTGTGAGTGTTTGTGTGGGACTCATCGTTGCAGAAAGGCTTGAATTAACTTATTCATTCATTAATTTTCTTGTCGGCTTAGTCCCTTTTATTAATCCGGGGTCGCCACAGTGGAATGCACCGCCAACTTATCCAGCAGGTTTTTACGCAGCGGATGCCCTTCCAGCCGCAACCCATCTCTGGGAAATTGAATGAACTCCACAACACATATATCAAATAACAGTTGTGACATTTTTTGCTGTTGCAAGGGAGATCTGCTTTATGCGGGTCTGTCACTATGCTGTTTATCTACGTAAAGACTACACACATCAGTGAAATAATGAGAGATCTCTGTGGCTCTGACAGGCACGTGGGAACAGTGAATGGGGAGAACCCAACTAATTTGTATTAAAAGCACAGACAACAAAAACGATTACAATGCACTAAAAGCTCAAATTTTCCAGATTTATATTAAGACTTTTTATATTTATATTATATATGAATATATATATATATATATATATATATATATATATATATATATATATATATATATTAAATTATGAAAAAGGGGAAAAATAGGTGCCCTTTAACTAATGCAAGTGTATCCAAACTCGGTCCTGCAGGGCCGGTGTTCTGCAGATTTTAGCTTTAACTTGCCTCAACACACTTGCAAGGATGTTTCTAGAGAGCCTAGTAAGAGCTTGATTAGCTAGCCCAGATGTGTCTGATTGGGGTTGGAACTAAACTTTGCAGGACACCAGCCCTCCAGGACCGAGTTTGGACATGCCTGAACTAATGTAATTCCAAAAAAATTTACATTTTACAAATAAATGGAATGAGATACCATTTGAGACACACATATCTGCGTGCATAAATACATGTGTACATATGTATAATACTTTACATGTAATAATTTTTCTGACATTTTCCCAAAATGACTTCAAAATGAGGACTATATATAAATATATTTGTATATCTGTATGCAATCTATATGGACAGTAACTACATAACTGTGTGTGTGTGTGTGTGTGTAAGATTAAAAGATCATTTTCAGAATAATGTGTTTATTTTAAAATGGCGGTCCAATGTTTATACTGTTCATCCAATTGTTTCCGGTCAAACAAAATTATTTACGTATTGCCAGAAAAATGGCAAATTTATTAAGTTCCATAGATTTTTTTATTTTTATTTAAATTTTTTATTTATTCATTTTTTTCAGTCAGTGTGCTCCTAAACTCGTCATTGGGGTATGAGCGAATTGTAAGAAAATGTAAAAAAAAAATACACGCAAATTAACTGCTAAATCAGAAAGTTATGAACTGCCATGAGATTTTGTTGAATAGGATTGGCTCGGTGCTTAGCACTGTCGCCTCACAGCGAGAAGGTCACTGGTTCAAGTCCCGGCTGGCCCAGTTGGCATTTATATGTGGAGTTTTCATGTTCTCCCCATGTTGGAATGGGTTTCCTCCAGGTCTTCTAGTTTCCCCCCACAGTCCATGCGGTATAAGTGAACTGAATAAACTAAGTTGTCCGTAGTGTGTGTGTGTGTGTGTGTGTGTGTGTGTGTGTGTGTGTGTGTTGGGATTTCCCAATTCTGGGCTGTGGCTAGAAGGGCATCCACTGTGTTAAACATATTCTGAAATAGTTGGCGGTTCATTCCGCTGTGGCGACCTCTAAAATAGAGACTAAGCCAAAGGAAAATGAATGAACGAATTGTTAAATAAAACCAGCAGTTTTTAGGTGCTACTTACAAATCACTTTACCTTGATCAGAGCCGGCGATAATGCTGATGATTTTATGGAAAACTGCCTGCGTGGAAAAACTTCTCGGTTCTTAATTTATGAGTGTTTTTCTTCTGTTGAACACATGAAAATGTTGGAAAAAGCAGCTACTGACATCCATATTAGAAAAGAAAAATACCATTGAAGTCAGTGGCTGCTTTTTTCCTTTGTGTTCACCAGAAGAAAGAAACTCAAGCAGGTTTGGAACAAGTAGAGGGCGAGTAAATAATCACAGAATGTTCATTGTTTGGGTGAAATGTCCCTTTAACACATGTAATCATTCATTCATTTTCTTTTTGGCTTGGTCTCTTTATTAATCAGGGGTCGCCACAGCGGAATGAACCACCAACTTATACAGCACATGTTTTACGCTGCAAATGCCCTACCCCTCTGGGAAGCACCCATACACACTTATTCACACACATACACTACAGACAATTTAGCTTACCCAATTCACCTATACCACATGTCTTTGGGCTGTGGGGGAAACCAAAGCGCTCGGAGGGGAGAACATGGAAGCTCCACACAGAAGCGCCTTAACTGAGTCTCAAACCAGCGACCTTCTTGCTCTAAGGCGACATCGCTACCCACTGTGTCGCCACAGGTAATCAATTTTTGAAGATTAATACACTTTGTTTGTTTTATTTAGGTGGTTTGTCACTGTCTGGACACTCTGGGCTCTCGAGCGCAGTGTTTCGATGTGATCCAGAATGCCATCATTAATAACCTGGTGAGTGTGTGTCTTGAGTGTATGTGTGTGTGTTTTGCTGCAGACAATGTTTGCTGTGATACTCTCACTGTTTCTGCAGGCTGGACTCGTGGTGGTGCCAGACTGTGTGTGTGTGGCTCTTCTGAGGTGTGTTCCTCGCTTATTGGATGTCAACTTCCTGCCCAGCGACACACTCCTCCACTTCCTGTCTGACTGTTGTCTGAGCATGCTCAGTCTATTGCTACAGCTGGAGCAGAGCGCCCGCAAGAGGTCAATATTTGCATACTGTAACATTTATACACACAATAACTGTTTGATGATGCAGCAAGAGAAGTTGTAAACAGTTCTGGGGGAAGTCCATTAGTGCACTAACAGAAAGAAAGGATCAACACATTTGAAAAGAAGGGTACTTATTTTGCTAATCCTGTAATGTCTGTATCAGCAATCAATGATTTTTAATAACTTCAGTAATAATTAGGCATTCCCCAATACCAGTATTGGGTCAATACTTGGTTAAAATATTCATACTTGTATCGTACATGAAATGCTAATATCACACAGCGATACCACTTAACAGTATTTCAATATGTATATGTGACTTGCTGTCCTACCTAATTTTAATATCTTAATGTATTAATTAATGTATTATATATTAATAGCTTAGTCCTTATAAATAATCCATTTATTAAATACATTAACAATTCTAAAGGCTACTGAAGAATAAACCGAATATGCAATATGATCCTTGCATAATGATCACAGCGAAACAAGCTAGCACTTACTTTATATATAAACTATGTATTTTTCCCCAATATTTTTATTGATTCTTTCCCCTTCCCCATATATATATATATATATATAAACATACAGTTGAAGTCAGAATTATTAGTCCCCCTTTGAATTTTTTTTTTTAAATATCTGCCAATTGATGTTTAACAGAGCAAAGACATTTTCACAGTATGTCTGATAATATTTTTTTCTTCTTGAGAAAGTCTTATTTGTTTTATTTTGGCTAGAATGGCAGTTTTTAATTTTTTTTTAAAACATTTTGAGGTCAAAATTATTAGCCCCTTTAAGCTAAATATTTTTCAATTGTCTACAGAACAAACCATCATTATACAATAACTTGCCTAATTACCCTAAACTGCCTAGTAACCTAATTAACCTATTTAAGCCTTTAAATGTCACTTTAAGCTGTTAAGAAGTTTCTCGAAAAATATCTAGTCAAATATTATCATGTGTATATATACATGACAAAATAACAAAAACAATAATACAATAAGGTGACGCAGTGGCGCAGTAGATAGTGCTGTCACCTGACAGCAAGAAGGTCGCTGGCACGCTGGTTCGAGCCTCGGCTCAGTTGGCATTTCTGTGTGGGGTTTGCATGTTCTCCATGCGTTCACGTAGGTTTCCTCCAGGTGCTCCGGTTTCCCCCACAGTCCAAACACATGCGGTACAGATGAATTGGGTAAGCTAAATTGTTTGTAGTATATGAGTGTGTGTGTGAATGTTTCCCAGGGATGGGTTGTGGCTGGAAGGGCATCCACTGCGTAAAAACTTGCTGGATAAGTTGGTGGTTTATTCTGCTGTGGCGACCCCTGATTAATAAAGGGACCAAGCCGACAAGAAAATAAATGAATGAATATTACAATATAAAAGTACATGTTTACAAAAAACTATTTACAATATTATTCATGTATGGTTCCCAAAGATAGTCAAAGTCCTTCTGCTTGCCTTTGGTCATAGAAGTTGGATCATATAAGTTAGTCTCTCCAGTCCAACACAGTTCAATATATTTTTCCACATTTCTATGGATGGAGCATCCATGTTTCCAGTGTAATGCAATAGCCCTTCTAGCTTGAAGGAAACCAAAATCCAAAATTTTGGTCTTCCCAATTGTAAGTTACATAGGATACAACCCAAGAATACAGAGCTTGGCATTTAAAGGGATTTTAATATTATACATGTCTGACATGCATCCAGTGATCTCTTTCTAAAACATTTGTATTTTAGGACATTGCCAGAAGCAGTGATATAGTGTACCTTTATCATTAAACATTTAGAGCACACATCTGGAATATTCACTATATAAATTATAAATAAAAAAAAATGAAAGAAATTCCCTAAGGCAACTTAAACTGCACACACTTGATTATGTAATGGGTGAAGTCGTGGACGCGTGTCAGCACAAAGATAATTTATCCTTTAAATGTCCATGCTAAATCGATAATAAATATGGTCTGTCAAATTACAGGGCTATCAATAATTTGTGTATATTTTAGGCTTGGAATAGGCTTCTGTTAAACATTTTTCTGTTCATCCTTGATTTATACGAAACATAAAACAATTGCACTTTCATTGAAATCAAATCTAAGAGGTATCGGAAACTGTACTCTGTATCGGCGAGTACACAAATTAAAATACTCCTCCTCGTATCAGTTTGTCAAAAAGTCGTATTGGTTCCCAGTGTGAGAGATTAGCACTGATTGGTACTTTTAAACTTTAATGTTTGGTCAAGTAATCAGCCTAAATCAAAGCAATATTAAACATCTACATATATTATAAAGATAAATTCATATTATTCATTTATTCATTTTCTTGTCGGCTTAGTCCCTTTATTAATCAGGGGTCACCACAGTGGAATGAACCGCCAACTTATCCAGCATATGTTTTATGCAGGGGATGCCCTTCCAGCTGCAACCCATCACTGGGAAACACCCATACACTCTCATTCACACATACATTACGGCCAGTTTATTTTATTCAATTCACCTATAGCGCATGTCTTTGAACTGTGGGACACCGGAGCACCCGGAGGAAACCTACGCTTACACATGAGAACATGCAAACTCCAATTTTATTTGTGTCTAATATTAGAGAAATTTGTTCTTTTACAGTTAGTCTCATAATAATAAATTCCCTATTATTATTATTATTATTGACCAGTTGTTCACTAATCATTACAACAACAAAAAAACACACACAGCATATCACGTACAATCTTAGTTTGGAAGTTACGTTGGGGTTTAGGTTTAAAGAAATATAATATTCAGCATTTAAAAATATAAATGCGTTGGTCCAAATTTCTGTATGTTCATGTGTGTTTCAGGGATGCCGTGTGGGAGGCGTGTTTCGCCGCGTTGAGCTCAGTCCCGAGGCTCCTGCGACTCGTCCTGCAGTCTTTCCGTGTGCGTGATCTGTGTGAGGACGAGCTGCCCGTGTTGGCACAGATCCTCTCGTTGCTTCTACAACACACTCAGCTACGCAACCACATGATGGCCAACGCCAGTTTCCTGCAGCATATCATACAAGACTTAACGGTACATGCACATACACATACACAGCCACTGACATAAAAATCTGTCTACAGAAACTGAAAGTCAGGGACGAGCTTGTTTTATTTTAAAGCTGCAGTGTGTAGGATTGTACCTAGTGGTTGACATGGGTATTGCAGTCCAAATTCAAAACATTGGAGAGGGTTTTTTTTTTTTCACCCGGCCTCTCTGATGAGGACTCGACACAAATGCAGGTTGCCAGATTGACGACACTAATAGGAGTTAGCATGCCTGACGACTGAGCATTACAATGTATGCTGCTCAGCTAATGTTTACGTTTAAAATATTTATATTATTTGCTAATTTAAAACACCTTTTGTGGATTTTTTTTGATAACTTTGAATCTGAGTCTTATTTCAGAGCTGCTATACTGTACTCTGGAGGTCGCATTTTCAACAGCATCTACATACATTGAGGCAGCTTTCATGACTGGAATGAAATACGCAGTGTTTTCCGCCAAGGCAGCCTCAGATGCTGAAATATGAGTGGTTTTTAGATCAACAAGTATGTAGCATGATTCTTTAATATCTGCAAACGCATGGAATTTTCTTGCTTTAGAGTCAAAACTTGCATAGAGCACCTTTTAAAGAATTGCCCCTTTCACACAGTGAGACCGGTAAATATCAGGAAATTTTCCAGAACAACTTTACTGGTCATTTCAAAAAAGTGCTGTGCACACAGGCAAGGATGTTCCAGAAATTTTCCGAAAAAGACCATTTACACATTCATTCCAAAATACCTGAAAATACTGACGTCATTAACTAGAAATGAGCTAGAAATGAACGGCTGCGCTTGTATTTGGAAACAAAGACGGGGTCGGGCTTTGGTTGATGGTTACGTTACATAATATGTGTGTGTGCTGGTGCTCACCGGCTGCTTCACATGCACAAGCGTCAAGCAACTGAAGCAGAGCTTGAAGTTAAACAAACAGCGCTTTATCATAAGCATTTTATCCATAATTTTTTCCACGGTTGGCATTAAGAAGGAACATAGAAACATTATTTGACTATTCAAATATTCAAAGGCTTATTTTTATAAACAGCACAGATGTGAATGCATATGAATGATCTAATTGGCTGGAGTAGATATCTTTTGCAGCGTGTTTTAATTGTAAACATTATCTTTTCTGCAATTTTCCTTCTGCGTTCATACAGAGAAGCATTTACCAGTATTTTACAAAAAGGGCTGTTTACACATACTGACCTTTCCGTAAAAATGCTGGTAATTTTCCAGAAAGTCTGCATGTGTGAAAGGAGCTAATATAGTGTTTGTGTTAAGTGCGCAAAACCAGACTTCAGATATTTCATGATACAAGACTTTATATATATATATATATATTATATATATATATATATAATGCCTTGTAATTATATTATATTAGCTTAGATGAGAAACTGCATTTTTAATGCTTATGTCTGACCCTGAACCAGTCAGTCAACTGTTAATTTAGTTGAAATGGAGGTATATATATCACGTTATTAAACAAATAAGCTCTTCATCTATGTATGATTTATTAGGACAATATTTGGCCAAGATACAACCATTTAAAAGTATTGAATTTTAAGCAGGTTGCAAAGCAGATTGTGTTGTCTATATTGCTAAGCAACCCAAACAGACGTTGACAGGTGGCAATGGTTTGCATACCCTCATAGAAAGAAGAGTCTGGAGCACGTCTGGTGTGCGACCCCCTTAAAAATTCTCAAAAATCGAATAATTGAGAAAATCACCTTTAAATTCAAATGAAGTACTAAGCAATGCATAGTACTTATCAAAATTTGCTATTGCTAAAATTATACTCAACTTAAAACATTTTTGGTTCAGAGTAATATATCTTCTTAAAACATTTCATTTGGTCTTTCACTAATAACTTTTAGACTTATAGACAACAATAGCATAAAGATTTTTTAACACCCATAAAACTTTTCAGGGGGCTTGAATATCAAACGATCATTAAACTTCTTGCATATGGCCCCTTTAATATTGAATGCAATGTTGTGTTTTTCCAGCATTACTATGGTGGTGAGAGCCGTGAGCAGTGGCTGACTGACCTCCTCTACTGCTACAGTGTGACGCTGTCTACTCATCGGGCAAACATGGGCATAAGGGACATCTATTAGCCGCTATTGTCCAACACAGTCTTCAGAGCTGCAGCCTTTCTTTTCCAGTCCGGTCATTTTGTACAAAATGAAAAAATAAACCTTGTGATAATCAAATGATTGGTTGTGTCTTTCATTCTTCAGTTTAAAATGTATTATTGATTCAAACTTAGATTTTTTTTAACTGCCCACTGTTTCTGCTGGTAGATATGGGTGGCTGACGGTAGTATTGGTAACCTAGTAACTATAATGGAGTCACGTGAGATTAATGTCCACTTCAGAGAAACTTTAGAGTTTCTCACATTATTCACAAAAACTACAAAAATATTCAGCGAAAAATATATTTTTCCCTGAAATTTGCACATTAGCACAGGTTGATGGAAACAAAGCTATTGTGGGATTTACTTAAAGCAGCTAAAACATACAAGTTACTTCATGTTCCTTTTTTAAAAGAAATCCAGATTACTGAAATACACAAATTTGTTCTAAGTATTGTTAAAAAGCACAAAGTCAGTAAGTGTTTTATTGTTAGAAATATTTTTTATTCTGCTAGGATCCATTACGTTGAAGTGACAATAAAAATGTGTACTGTGTGGTATTTATTTAAAAAATACTGTGTATTAATTAAAGAATCCTGAAATTTTTTTTATCTAAACTCATTTTCAACTATTTTTAACATGTTAAAATTATAATTATTATTATTATTATTTATATATTATATTGCATGATTTCTAAATAAACTATATGACTTAAAAATATTAAAATTATATTATTATTAAAATGTATATATTATATATATATATAATTGAAGTCAGAATTATTAGCACCCCTTTGAATTTTTTTTTTTTAATATTTCCAAATTGATGTTTTACAGAGCAAGGAAATGTTCACAGTATGTCTGATAATATTTTTTCTTCTGGAGAAAGTCTTATTAGTTTAATTCGACTAGAAGAAAGGCAGTTCGATTTTTTTTAAACACCATTTTAAAGACAAAATTATTAGCCTCTTTAAGCTAATTCTTTTTCCATTATTCTGCAGAACAAACCATCATTATACAATAACTTGCCTAATAACCCTAACATGCCTAGTTAACCTAATTAACCTAGTTAAGCCTTTAAATGTCACTGTAAGCTGTATAGAAGTGTCTTTAAAAATATCTAGTCAAATATTATTTACTGTCATCATGGCAAAGATAAAATAAATCAGTCATTAGAGATGAGTTATTAAAACTATTATGTTTATAAATGTGTTGAAAAAAAAAATCTTCCCTCCGTTAAACAGAAATTGGGGAAAAAAAATAAGAGGGGCTATTAATTCAGGGGGACTGATAATCCTGACTTCAACTGTGTATATATATATATATATATATATATATATATATATATATATATATATATATATATATATATATATATATATATATATATATGCATGCTATATACACATGATCTATATACTCAATTTATAATAGGTGAAGTTTCATAAACTAATTTCGAGAGGAGCAGGTGACATGATTGATTGCAGCTGGTCCCTCATCCGTAATCAATCAGATTGATTCAAGCTTACAATAAATAGACCGATTTCACCCTACTGCCTTAGCTTCATTTTGGAAGAATCCTGCCTTCCACCCAATCTCCTCCTTTTCCTCCCTTTACTGGTGGGAGCTCTTGAGACCTACCTGATCTCGGACCCCCTTATATGCTTATTGATCAAGTGGGAGCCTTGGGCTCAGTTATCTCCGAGCTCAGGGTTCTCTCCCGGGACAGCATGCCAGACCAGCTATTTGCGTCAAGCAATATCTAAGGCTGCATTATTTATGACAGAAGTTCTCATTTTGGCCAGCTTAATGTAATGTCCATGATTTATACACGTGACGTTTTCCACAGTTTTATATTCATTTAGGTTACATGGCGAATATTGTGCCCGCAAACACACACATACACTACGGTCAATTTTAGCATACCCAATTTACCTATACCAAATGTCATTGGACTTGTGGGGGAAACCGGAGCACCCGAAGGAAAACCATGCAAGCACGGGGCGGAGGACATGCAAACTCCACACAGAAATGCCAACTGACCCAGCTGAGGCTCGAACCAGCGACATATACACAAGACCTGAATCTGATTTGAGTAAATCAGAATCTGAGATATTTTTTTTTCCTACTTTTACATACATGGGCCATATCCGATCGCACAGGATAAAAATGAGAATTGAGTCACTTGAACCTATGCAGTATAAATGCAGCCTTAGTGTAAACTCTTGAAATGTACACAGCAAATTCATCAGAGTTAAATTCTCGGTGTTGAAGCATTTGAGAGTAAAGTGTTGACGTTAAAGAGTTAGATTTTGATAAATGAATATAATAAGAGTTAGAATTGATTTTATTCAGTGCGAAATCAAGGAGTTATCTTTTCTACACTTGGTGGTGTTATTTCCAACATCCGGGAATTCATGCAGCCCCAGTCACTGAAGAATTTTCCAGACGCCATTTTCCATCTGAGGTTTAGAACAGCAACTGGTGAGTCAAACTACCTAAATGTTGGTATTTTACTGACTTTCTTTAAGGAAATACAGTTGTAAACATGTTGTTAAGTTAATAACTTTAGAATGGAGTGACAATTTTAAACTTCTGTGGTTCATTCATGGTCGTTTGTGTATCTAGCTTAACTGCATTACTATTGACTTCTTTTCAAGAATGTTTTTATATATGCTCACGCATACATAGTGCATAAAAACATCAAATGTACATGTTCAGCACATTTCTGTCACGCTTAATGCCATTTTGTGCGTTGTTACCCATCTGTAAAATAAAATCGACACTTCTCCTTTAATTCTAAGCAAACTAGCGAGGGAATCCCCGGAGCAGCCTAACGTTAGCCTACTCTGCCCGGATGCTAACGGCAACACAGGACGGTTTCCATAAGCTCTGGAGAGTTTCTAAAACATATCTGGTGAGTAAATGAACATATGCTTACTTGTAAAAGGCTTCCTGACTGAAACAAATGATTGTTTGTTATTCGTGTACGTTAATTTGGTTATTTTAAACACCTCGGCCCTTTTGGTTCATTCGTGGCCGTCCATATACCGTTAACGTTAGTCCATAACTTAGACTCGTGTGATAACGTACGCTTGAATTATATTAAGTGTTGACAACCATTAAAGTCGGAATGTTAACATTAATGTCTTTAAATGACCGCGTTTGCACTTTATCAGACATTTAACGTTACAGAAGTCTCCCGGAAGTTGCGGGACTAACGTTAACGTTATCCCGCAAATGCACAGAGACTCCCAGATGCCCAAGTAGATGCCCGCAAATGAATGATCATCTCCCGGAAATCGCGCGTCTCCCGCCCGGTCATTAAACACTTTGCACGCCCCTCTCCACCGCATCCCTCCCAGCTCTTCAGGTACGTCGCGCTCAAGTCACCCCCACCGCTCTTCAGGTACGTCGCGCGCAGCTCATCCCATTGCTCTTCAGGTACTCATCTCTCCCGCTACCTCCCGCAAATCAACTCTGTATCCCCCGAAAATGACTTTTCCCAACTCGGGATGTCTGACGTTAGTAAGTTAGGCTATTTCTGTTGTCAGGAACATCTTAGTCAAGCTTTTTCTCCCGCATGATATTGTGCTTAAAACTATAGGCTAAACTTAGCATGTACTGTACACAACATTTCCGTTTTATTAGTGCGTTGTAAACAGCCACCTGTCTGTAAAATTAATCAACTGATTCATATTTGAGCAGCCTAATGATGATACAGGTTTGATTTGTAGATTTATTATCAATAATCAACATCTGAATCAAAAGATATGTGAAAATGTGTGAGGCATACTTTGTGATGTTCTTCTCTCTTTTTTATCTGAAGGTTATGCATATGTGTTAGATACTAATGTGTTGTTGTTTTTTAACAGCCACAGTTCTCTGTACAATAACACAAGACCCTGTGACGGTGGCTGATTAGAGACGGATGGTGTATTTCCAGAGTTGGTGAAATGACCAAGCACACCTTCTTGGTCATATGTGGTGATAATAATGAAGGTATGTTTGATAAATTTCTGTATTTGTTTCACAATAAGCTGAGAGGGTATTAGAGCATTAGAGAATAACAAATGACATGAAGGTGATAAGTTTTGTATTGTGGGTGAACTTTTACTTAAATAATGTTTTGCTGTTGTCTTTGCACTTTTTCTCTTCTGCTTATCCTAATATTTTAGATTATATTTGGACCTGAAACATCTGCTAGACTCCAGTAAAGGTGGCGTCAATACTGGACCTGAAAGGGCCTAACAAGTTGAATCTGGTAAAGAAACACGCACACACACACACACACACACACACACACACACACACACACACACACACACACACACACACACACGCACGCACGCACACGCTTACAGAAAACTGTAAGTTTATGAATATTTTTTACACTGTGGCCAATATTTTGGGGAAGTCAGCATCCCTAAATGATATAAAAGATTTTAAGCTCCTCTAAATTTTGCTCCAAGTGTTGTGTTAAATTCAGGATTCTGGACAGACAGCTGTCTGTTTTTCTAGTTCTAGTCATAGTAGTTAACCTAATTGTTTTTGGAGATCCAACAGTGATGTATGTGTTTTTTCTACTTTTCCATATCCTGTCACCTCAACCAGCTGGGAGAGTCAAGTTGTGGATCATCATGTAGATTTTCAAAAGGTGAGTTTAGATTTCTTGAATGTTTTATTTACTTTAAATGTTCTTTTAAATATATCATAGAATTTGATTGCAATTTTATTTTCAAACATTTTTCTTAGTCATGCTGGAGTCTTGAAGAGTTCTTAGATGAGCATCACCCTATATCCGTGCATCAGGAACCACCAGACGAGTGATCAGCAGCTGCTACATCGTCATGGATAAAAAGGTCATCTTGTGGCTGGGAAGCACTTCATTCACAGGACATGCTTGATGAGATTTCCTAGCTCCAGTTTGTTTTCAAACAAGTTTACAGCATTTATACCTTCATTTAAACTGCTGTGTTTGATGTGGAGGACCAAGGAAACACCAGAAGTGAAAGATTTGCACGCCAAGTTGTTTAAAATGTAATTTCAGAAGAAAACTATGCGTTCAGAAGAAAACTAT